AAACTTGAACTGGGCAAATTTTAATGATGTCATTGACGAATAAATATGTAGACTAGAATTAGGAGAATTTCTCTGACTGACTGCTAGTTAATGTTTGGAATCAATAAATTTTAGGACTTCTGTGGTTCCAATGAGAATGTAGTAGATATATAATGTAGAAGGTGGCATAATGCCCAGTAGAGAAAAAAGATGTCAAAAATGATCTTTACAATATTCTCTGGCCAGAATTCTTATCACTTTTTGTTACGTTACTTGATTGCTGCAAATCAGCAGAGTTGTTCTGCTAAAAAGCTATAACAGTAGCTAGAGATGTTGTCAGTAACCATATAATAACATAGGACAAATCTTATGTTACCAGCAGGTTGTATGGAAAGAAATAGAAAGAAGAATATACTTTTTTAAACGTCTTCAAGCTGTCCACGAAGCCTAATCAACTAAAAAAAAAAAAAACGTGGAAAAGTTTTCCAGTAATAGCTTCCATATGTACAAACCAGCTCAATTATTTGTAGGTTCTGGAAGATACAATTATATTTTGAATGTATTTTCAGTTAATGTCAGAACCGATACTATACAACCTGATTATATTACATTTAAGAGCAATTATTTTTAAATCAAGAATTCGAGGATTTATCACTTGATAAAACATTAATCACTTTCAGAAGTGGCTCAACAGATTGTCAATCAACTATATTTGATGCTGATTAGTTTTATTATCCAATGTTCTAGTATTTCTGATTAACGAAAAAACAGATTTTAAACAGATTTTTCTTAGTCATTGTCTTCAAAAATTTTATCCGTGTAACCAGACAAAATTTCAATGAAACTTTATATCGTTAATCATAATAAATTTACAATATTACTGAAGTTCTTTCCCAACACCAAATCGTTATTTTTAACACCTCGACACGTGTTTCGATCTCCAAGTTATCATCTTCAAGAGGAACCAACACCAAATCGTCAAAAATAACGATTTAGTGTTGAGAAAGAACTCCAGTAATATTCATTACTACACCAAAGGTTCCAAAAAGTGCATCATAAGTACATAATAAATTTACGATTAATATTACAACTCTAACCACAGAGACTGAAAGTACCAATCCTAGAAAGATTTAACGTTTATCGTCAATCCAGTTATATTCCATAATTTTCACTTTTGAAGTTTTTTCTACACCAGATTCAGTCATTTGTATTTACTAAATATATCATCAAATGAGAAATGCATATATCCACAAAGTACGCAAACAAATTTTAACCTTCAACCCATCTTATTTACTCTCCAAATAATCACATTTATAATAAAAGCTAAATTCTACAGTAAATAAAATTAGCAATCTTACTCGTGTACTTCCTCTTTTGTAGCTATATCTCCATTGACTATTTTCTGAAGGATAAAATTGTGATCATCTTCGGAAAGCTGCTCCTTCAAAACAAGAGGTGTAAAGTCAGTAGAATCATGTTTGCTGCCACTGAGCCAAGGGTGTTTGGATATTTCCTCTAATGTTGCTCTCTTTTCTGGATTTCTCAGCAACATTCTTGATATCAATCTGAAAAATTCAACAAACCATCACATAATAAGCAATTTATAAAAAGAAGAACTTTATTTCCAGATAGGCAAGCCTAATCACAAAAAAGAAAAAAAATTATATCGCACATATTCTATATAGGATACACGTTTACATATTTACTTATATATTCATTCAAAACAAAGTCTTATTATTATATTTTAAGTATAAATTAGCTTTAATTCAGTTTATTGTTATGAATGTTACCAAGTCCCACTTGAATAGACGAAGAGAAGAAGAGTTTTTTATATTATTTGGCAGTTTATTAAAACTGTCCAATAATAACGAGTTCATACTGTTACGTGAATTTTTCCTTGGGATGTGAAAATTGGTGTTCAATCTAGTATCATGATGATGTGCTTCACTATTCGTGATTAAAAAGTTTACTAAGTATGTTGGTTGCAATTTATTTATTATTTTCAATATAAATATCATAGTTTGATACTACAGTCGTTGAGAGACATTAAGCCACTTTAAACTACAGAGCATAATATGTATAGGTGTTATTCTATTGCAAAGTAATATTCGCATTCCACGATTTTGCAATTTTTGTAATTGATTTGATTTGTTCTGATTCAAGAGATATAAAAGAGTCCCACAAAAATCATAATGAGGTTTTATTATGCAATTATAGCACGTTATTTTGGCATACATTGATAATACTGATGCCACTCTAGAAAAAAAATAAAAAAATACAGTTTCTTTGATAGTTTACTTATTACATAGTCAGCATGTAATGTTGTAATGATCATCGCCTTAGTTTTAGTGATATTAATTTTCAGTTTATTTATTCCAAGGTACAACTCAACATTTTTCAATGTTGAGCTATCTTCAATAGCGACTTGCAAGGTTTTATTATAGGTATATATTAATGTATCATCTGCAAATAAGTTAATCACATGATCACCATCTACGTAATTGATATCGTTTATATAAATCAGAAATAGTAAAGGTCCTAATACACTACCTTGTGGAACTCCAAAANTATGTACCTGACGATTTCTATACGTGTTCAATCATGTCAAAAAGAAAAATAGGATTATAATTATTATTATTATTAAACGAATGTACCTTGCAATAATGTCTTAACGTATGCTGCATGATCAACTTTTAAAATTGACGTGTATATCCATCTACGTATGGCTGCTGTATGCTAATACGAATAAATATTATTATTATTCTTATTGAAGAGTTCTTGAACAGTGAAGTTGAAATTAAAAACGATGAGCAGAAGAGAAGAGAGACAAATCTCCAGTTTTTCTTCAAAGTTCCCGACTATCAAGATTACAAGTGATGTTAGCGTCTTCAATCAAGCGGATGGCTCTTTTCTGAATGGAATCTAGCAGCTTCAGGTTATGCTTAGGGGTTTGTGCAAAATCTAATGTTACGCATCGCAACAAACATTATTAAATGTGTGTGTATTTGTGTCATGGTTTGTCGATTGTTCCTAACATCAAGAGGCCACTTCAACCAACTTCTAACAGGCACAAAGATTACCATTAGAAGCTGAAACACCACTGGACTAAACATCAGCTGTTACATAAACGGTAGGTCCTTGTGGTCACGAATTCGCATGAATTCCGGATCTTCAAACACGCCAAGTCTCTGGCCATCAGTAACCTACGACTAGGCTTGTTATACAATGTATAGGCCATCCCTGCTATAATCTACAATTCTTTGAAAAATAAATAAATGATTTACGATGGGCTAATCTTGATAGATGTTGCAATCCAGGTATTCAGTATTATTTGTTTGACAAAACCTGAAGAGATGCTAAGACAGATTTTGATCCAATCAAACATCTTGCAGCAACTTCCTTTGCAAAAGACTTAGCTGCTTAATTACTCTCCAGGCCAATGTGGCCTATTGAAGAGGTTTTTTGGCAGTTCAAAACCAACTTGAAAATAGGCAATCCGAAAATATTTTTATTAATTAATGTATGAGGTTAGTTGTAGCCGCCTAACTCTCCACATATGAATCTATGGAGAAGATTTATGCCTGAAATAATTTTCGAAGTGGACCCCAACTTTTTTATTTGTAGAGATAAACCTATAGTTACTTTGAACATGTATTTCTCGGAGATTTTTTTCTGTGAAATTATGTCCGTCTGTATATACATACGTCCAGAATTTAATAAAATACACTATATTTCGAAAAAAAATGAGATATTGGTTTGAAATTTGGCACAAGCACGAAGTTTGCCTTGGAAATTCCGTGTTTTGAAATTGACAAAAAAATAGAAAACAGTTTTTACAGTTTATCCAATACAAAAATTTCAACGATTCTATATTTACTTGATCGGTTCTAAATTTCCAATCGCACTAAATTTCCAGTAGCCAATTTGACTATCTTGACAATGTATGTGAAAAATTTCCCAATTTTTCATTCATATGATTGTATTATCATGAATATTGTTGTTAATTTTTATCAAGTAACAGCTCACTGTATTTATAAACTAAGTGAAATTATAGACTACAGACTTACTGGCGGCAATTTTGCGACACATGTGCAGGAATATCATATTTACAGTCCATAATCATTGTAAGCGTTTCGGAATCATTGGCTTCCTGGAAGGGAGCTTGGCCACAAACTAACATATATAGTATTACTCCTAAAGACCATACATCTGGAAATAACAGCTCAATTATCAAACAGATCAATGACAGCTACTCCAAAGCCCTTCGGCTTCTTAGTACCAAAGACTTACCGACAGCGGGTGCATCATAAGAATCCCCCAAGAGTATTTCTGGAGCTGAATAAGCTAAACTACCACAAGAAGTTTCTAATTTTTGTCCGGGATAAAACTTATTACTAAAACCGAAATCTGTCAACTTGACAATGCCTTGCTTTTTAAAAAACACCACGTTCTCCGGTTTCAGATCTCTGTGGACCACATGCAACTGATGACAGTAGGATATGGCCCTCACTATCTGACTGAAGTACTCTTTTGCCACTTCTTCCGGGAGACCTGTTTCATGCCGCATGATGTATTCGTACAAATCCCCTCCATCTCCAAGTTCCAGCACCAGATAGAGTTTAGTTGCCGTGTCAATAGCCTCATAGAGTCGAACTACGTTGGGATGCTGAACGAGTTTCATGCACCGAACCTGCAAAGATTCGAGTCGTGAAAAATAATTGCGATGTAGTACTGAGAAAATAAATTCTGTTGTTTAATAACAGAAAAGCTGGAGTCATTAACTGATACCCGGACATTCTTAAACCTTGTAAATTGTATAGGGTCTTTCATAAGGTGCTTCTTATCTTTAAATTCAAATAAAACAAACAGTGTGTGTAATATCATCGAAATTTTGTATTTGTTTGAATGACCTATTGATGCCATTATGTCTGGAATATAATGTAATGAATCTGGAGCCGCACCTAGCCGATAGGCCAGCTGACTCATCGAACAAACACATGACCTCAACTCAAAAGAATGCAGTCGGGAGTCGCCGGTAAAATTCTAGTACTGAAACGACTACAGAATTCTAGAAAGGACCTTTACCGATATAAGCCCGTCTTCCCGACCCAAGAGGGCAGTTCAGAAAGTGAATCGAGCAGCTAAACAAGGAATTCAAGTAGTGGAAATAAATTAAGCGTTAGTTGCGAAGTGTTTTAAAAAATAAATTAGTTTGTGATTATTGAAATAAGTTAGTGATTATTGAAATATTGTTGGAAATAAATTTGTTCAAGACAGTTAATTCATTAACTTGTCACAATAACATCGTTCAAATGTCCACCACGGCTTCTCTGGGTGGAGCGCATCCGAAACGTCCAATTTTCCATGACTCTGGGGCATAAAAATCAGGAAGACCAATGGGTTATGTTGGCTTTGAGGACCACTGCGGTTTGTGGCTGATTCACATACACTTGCGACTTGAGAAAATCCCACAAGAAAAAGTCTAACGAGGTCAAATAGCAGGATCTCGGAGGCCAATTCACATCACCCCCATTGACAGTGATAGTCTGGCCTACGTCATTCTCAAAGAAATATGGACCGATGACGCCGCCAGCCCAAAATCCACACCAAACAGTGACTTTTTCGGAATGCATTGGACACTCTTGGATCTCATGTGGATTGATGTCGTTCCAAATTCGACAATTTTCTTTTTTTTTTTTTGGTACCTTGGGAGCTGTCTGACTTGTCCATTTAGTCCAAGTCTCCAGAAAACACTGCAGCCTCTTGGGCTTATTGCGTTTATTCTACTGTAGTTTAGATTTCTATCCGCTCGGTATATTCCAGCTCCCGTTACATGTTTGGTCTTCGATCCATCTGTATACCAGGTGTTTTTTCCAAACATTTTTTCGGGATGACTAATGGTCTTCCACTCTTCACGGCTTATAATTTTGGCCGTGAAGTTTGTGTTAAAGGTGTACTTCGGTGTCATGTAGTCCGTGCACATATTCAATATGTGCTCCTCCACTTGTTCCGAAATTTCTGTTCGGTTCAATCTTTTGTAGTTCAGTGAGTTTTCCAGTCTGAATTGGCCCATCCTGTCCTCCCCCATTATCACAAAGTGTTAAGGAGGTAGATTCAGGAATGTCTCCAATGCAGCTGTTGGGGTAGTTCTCATTGCTCCCGTCATTCCCAAACATGCAAGTCTTTGCACCTTGCCTAGTTTGTTGATGGCGGTCGCCTGCTTCATCTTTGGCCACCAGACCAGAGATGCGTATGTTATCATGGATTTAACCACCATCGTGTATAGCCAAAATACCATGTCTGGTGTAAGCCCCCCATGTTTTTCCATAGGTACGTCTGGCGAGCATCAGTGCTACTTCCGCTTTCCTCTTTATCCTGTCCAAGTGTTGGTTCCAGGTCAGTTTGGAATCAAGGATAACTCCCAGATATTTAACCTTCCCCGACACTTGTATTTCTTCACCTCGAAGTTTTAGAGGTCCGATACCCTCCGTTTTAGTCCTCTTGGTGACTGCTACTATGGTCGATTTGGATGGGCTTAAGCTCTTCTTGTTCGGTCCATCTTGTTATAATGTTCAGGGCCTGAGCATGCATCCCTTCACTACATTATTGTATTTAACCTGGACTAAGATGATTCGACAATTTTGTTTGTTCACGTACCCATCCATCCAGAAATGGACCTCATCACTCAAGATGATTTTTAAATGAAAATTAGGGCTAGTTGTCAACTGCTCCAGAGCCCATTCAGTGAACCAACATCGTTGTCTATGTTCATTTACCTTCCGTTCCTGGGTCAGTTGAATTTTGTACGGGTGCAGGCCCAAGTCATGACGCAAAATTCGCCAAGTTCTGGTCTGCGAAAAGGCAACTTCTTGCGAGCGATGTGGAAAACGACTGCTTTGGATACACGTACGGGTGTTGGTCGATCGTTTACTGAACTAGTGGACTCAAATTTATCCACCACACTTAAAATAGTCCTCTCGGCAGGAAGATTATGCCCGAACAGAACACCCATTTTGATAAAAGAATTTTATTATTTGCACGTGCTATTGAATGCTATATCCGTCCATGGAGATTTGGCAAAATAGACTAAATAAATGACAACTAATTTGACAGATATAGCTTCAACAACCCTATAAAAAAATAGATGCAGTTTCAATAAAATATTGAGAATGAGAGAAAATGATAATTGGATAATCGATGAATCTGTATCTGTAGAGTAGGGAGGGTAAGTGTAAGCCCACAGCACCTAGGCCACATGTGACTCATTGTACATCCTCCCGAGGAATATACTTGTTTAGCTTGATTTATTTTACTAATAAGTAGATGCGTTCTATGATAAAGATTGAGTTTTATAGATTTTATTCTGGAACCGTTCTCTCTCTCTCGAGAGTTTTTCTTTGCCGTTACCTCTAAATTTTGTATAACTTGTATTATAACATATTTACTGATATTATAGAGGCCTATTTATACTATTCATCTATTTTTTTAATTTCAACTAACCTATAGTTTGGCAAGTAAGCCAGGATTTACTGATTTTAGGTTTAAGAGAGGTGTATGTTTTATTTTGTTGTTTGTTGTTTGTTGGCACTCTCTAATGCCAATGATAATAATAAGTCTAATGATAATAATAAGACCCACACCCGACTCCACTGAAATATTAGTCGTTGCATACACCTAAATTGTTCTATCGCTCAAGTGTATTACGACTTTGAATATTTCTTGCAGGATGTCTGACATTGAAAATATCAGCTACTTGTCGGTGACCGGTATTCTCGTCGCATATTAAAACGATTTCAATTTTCTCTTGAAGACAACGAATAATAGTTATTTATGTATCAAGGGAATTAGGAGGGCCTTAATTACCGATGGCAAAGTTTGCGTCCCGAGGGCCTCTGGCCCGAGGGACCGCAATTGCCTGAGGTTATTAAGGCTCATTAATTCTCGTGGTACATAGATAATTTTATTTCTGACCGATTTCAATAAAATTTTGTTCATTTTTGAAACGGAAAAATGTACCAATTCATTACCTTCCCGGTATATTTGAATCAGGTACCGTTGATTATAGTAGAGTTTTCTTGTTGCTAGGTTGTTGCTATGTTACTTGTTTATAAACAGAACTTTGTTATCANTTGGTGTTGTTCTCATGGCTCCTGTGATGTTTAAACAAGCCAATCGCTGTATTTGATATAATTTTTGGATGGGCATTGCTTGTAGAACTTTCGGTCCCCATGCAATGGCTCCATACGTTAACATAGGTCTTATTATTGCAGTGTAGATCCAGGTGACCACACGGGGTGAAAGACCCCATGCGCGTCCCACTGTCCGCCGACATCGCTCATAAGCTACATATGCTCATAATCGATGAAATTTTAAACAAATTATTTAGAAAAATCTGAAGAATGACTCAAACAATGATGAAGTTAGGATTTATTATAAAAAAAACTAGAAAATGAAACTGATATTTGTTGTGAAACATGTGAGAAAAGTTTGAACTAGGAGCTAATCCTATTTTTTTTTCTTTTTTTTCTCAGATATTGATTGTTATGAAAAAAAATTCAAAACCATCCCGTTGTAAATCTTTGTTCTCAAAGCCTACTTTGGAAGAAGGCATAAAAGAAAGATTAATGTCTTTAGAAATGAATGCAGCTCTAAAAGAATTGTTGATTTGATTAGTTTTCCTTTATAGACAATTATAAATAAATGTATTGGAAAACTCCTAATTTGATACCTGATATACCTCAACCTTTTTATTGTGCTTTAGAGAATATGGAATGTAAACTTTATAAAGACCACTAAATAACTGATGGAGCAAATACCATTTGAATATTACTGGAGTTTTTTCCCAACACCAAATCGTTATTTTAACACCTCGACATGTGTTTCCATCTTCAAGTGATCTCCCTCTTGATCTTCCTCTCAATCTTTATCTTCGATCACATTATATAAAAACGTAAACAGGGAAAAAAGTACAAAACGGGTGTATCCAAAAAACATAAGTTTAACTAATTTGAACTTGTCATTTATCGCTCACNAACAAATAACTTACTTCTTGGAACAGATGAGCTCTGGATACTTCATCGAGTTTACTTTTGTCGATGACTTTGACAGCGACTTTTTCTCCAGTGAAAACATGCCTGGCAAGTTTCACAACAGCGAAATGTCCACGTCCAAGGGTTTCCTCCAAGTCATACAGACCAGCTATCTTCCCGTCGTACTGCTTCGAAAGGTAGCCTACGCCCAGGTCAGAGGTACTGCCTTTGCTGCTGGCTCGGAGACCTCGGTGCATTTTACTCTGTAAGTAATATTCATATAGTTCTGTCACGTATAAAGAATTCTTAACAATATGTTCAACAAAAATTGCGGGAGAAAAAATTCTTCAACTAAAAAGGCATTTTTCTTCCCCTCAACTATTGTTTTCAATGTATGTAATACATACGTACCGATGTATAATTCTCCGCACTCTGCGAGTGCGGAGAATTATACATCGGTACAACTAAGAGGTCATTGAAAGTTCGCATTGCCGAGCACAAGAAACACACAGAGCGAGAAGAAACCAGCAAATCGGGAATAACAGAACATGTTTGGACTCGTCCACTCGTCCAAGTGGTGTCAAGCTGAAATCCTCCACGAGGAGGAACACTGGTTTAGGAGAAAATTCGAAGAAGCCGCATATATGTTCAACAACTTATTTAGCCAAGCTAGAGTGGAGAGAGGCAACATATGGAAACCTCTAATCAAGCGGAACACGACCAACTCCCGCCAAACGGTCAGCTCCCGCTATAATAATAATAATTTATTTAGCCACTGAGGTACAATATGTACATATGGTATGTCAACAGGTACTATTTATACTAAACATATACATTTAAAATATAGCAAGTAAGTAAGATATAAAGTTTAAAATCTCAATGAGAGTTTGTTAGTATACTAAACAAAATAAAACTCAGCTGAAGTTGCCATCCAGATACTCTTGTACATTATAAAAACATTTTTCAATAAAAAATTCCTTAGTACTTTTATAAAAAATATTGTCTGATTTGGAGTTTTTTAAAAAGTTGGGTAGTTTATTATAAAACGTAATAGCACTATACTGGGGAGAGTTTTTAAATTTAGATGTGGTGTGGGCTGGTATTCTCAATAAGCTACCATGCCGCGTGTTATGATTGTGGGATGATGCATTGGTTGCAAAAGTGGACAGATTTTTTCTCGCAAAATTAACACATTTGAACAGATAAATTGATGGTGCCGATAATAGTTGCATTCTGACAAATATCGGTTTACAGCTATCTCTATATTCCATATTGAAAATCAATCTTACAATACGTTTTTGTGCTACAAATATCCTATTAAAATCTCTACCAGAACCCCAAGACATTATATTGAGTGAAATATGGGAATAAGCCATAGCGAAATAGATTGCCAATAGACCTTGTTGGTCAACACAGTTTTTCATTTGCTTGATCGCAAAATATGCTTTATTTAGTTTTTTACAGACACTATCGATGTGTTGATCCCAACTTAATGTTTCATCCAAAATTGTTNACTTCGTTCATCCTCATTTTTTGCAAGAGTGATTTTCAAAAAGCGAACAAAAAAATTCAATTTCAACACCCCGTATCTCCGAAACGAAGCATTTTCGGACACAAGTTCATATAAGCTTTTTTTCTTAAAATTTTCTCAGGAATGCGTCAATTGAATATTTTAACGTACTTATGTTACACCCTGTATATAGCCAATTCGCAACAAATATTAATAAAATTGTGGGTGATTTCGTTAAAAAAATATTATAAGTAAGAGTTCGTGATATTTCGAGAAGTTTATTTTCACGTTTTCATCGTATAAAAATAGAAATGTTTTGAAAATGAATGAAACTATTGACTGAAAAGTGAAGGTATACACGAGATAGAGTGAGAAAAACTGAAAAGAATAGGAGTAGGCAAAGTCGACTTAACGAAAATGTTTCACAATGTGGGAAAGAAAGGTTTTGGCTTTTTACTTCTACATCTGTTTACACTAAAAATGTGGGAATCTTCCGATAAAAAGGCAGAAAGATATTAATTTAAAAAATTAACTCCACACAGATGTTGTAGATCATGCAAAGAAATAGCCTACAAAATAGCAGTTCATAATAGCATGATTCACAGATTGGTCAATGTTCCTCTTTCAATAGATAATTTCAATAAAGAATATCATCAAGCAAATTGCAGTAAACAATGGGTTTAATGCCCAATTAATAAACAAAATACTTTCCAAAAAATTTACGCAAAAGCGATTCAAAACATTTTTCCTATTGAAAAATCAAAATTATAGAGTTTTAACGTATTTTGGACAAACAACAGAAAAAGTGGCTTCATTTTTGAGGAAACAAAATATTAAAATTGCTGAGAAAATAAATTCTGTTG